AAACAAAAAATAAGGAATTCTCACAGCATGTACTGACATAAACATCTGAATTAACTAACCCCTGTGTGAGCGTGTAATTGCTACCACTTGGAAAAATGAGCAAGGTCATTCAGTCAAAAGACTTTATTTTTGTCTAGGATCAACTGCTTTATATGGCTTTGCTACCAAATATAGAAACATTAGCCCATCTACAAAGGCACTATTTTTAAAGATTGCGCCTTTAGAAGAAAAATGGGATTGTTTTTCCTCCTAAAAGATCTTTCCAAACGTGTATTATTAAGATCCAAGACACGTCGGATGGGAAAAGGACCGACTAACCACATTCTGGACTGAACTGTATATTGTTTAACTCTGCTAATTTTACTGCTTTTAACAAAGCAATGCATAACTTTTTTTTAAAAAAATTCTTTTTTAATGTCAGAACTCTAGGATTATTTAGTAACTCTGGTTAAGTTGCTAACCATATTTAATTCCCTACATTATTTGTAAAAGACAGTTGAGAAATACTGTTCTAAAATAAGCCATGTCTAAAGCGAGGCAGGCGATTCTTTTAGAAACTATGAGCAAACGTCTGATTAAGATGACAAGCCACATGGAAACTACTCCCAGAATCAGACTCAAAGAGCACTGTTACCAACCAAATTTGGCAGACAAGGATTTGTGACGAACTGCAAAGGCATGCAGCAACGTAACAAAAAGTTGGGAATCATCAGCAAATAAGACAGAAAGCACTTGTGTCTACTCAGCAAGGGCAAGAACACAGGCAGGACAAATTCTAAGCATTAAATTCTGGATTCAGATGAGTGGCATTGTGCCATAGTGGGAGTGAAGATGGCTGTTCCATTTACAGGTGACTTGCCATAAGCAAGCTGTGTGAGAAAGGAAAAGAATCTGGCTATTGCAGATTTCTCATTCTGACTTCTATCTGTCCAGAGAGCACGTCTTCAGAACCGTTTCAGTAGTAACAACACAGAAAGAGCTAAAAGCATGGTATACATAATGTAAGGCTCTATACTTCCCTAAAAGGTGGTCAGAAGACTTTGAGAGACTACCTTACAGCATTTATCACTAGGTAACAGCTGACATCCGGCCTTATCTGTAGATAACTACTTTTAGATTTGGCATTTTTAATACACAGCTATGCTTGTTTAGAATTACTGCACTTTTTAGTGCAGTCAGGACTACTGACTTTTTAGTCTTGGTGCTAAGAGGGTGATGACTGAAAATTCAGTTCAAGCAGGAAAGACAGCATTTATAGCTAATTTGTCAAATACTACAGGAAGCTTAATTAAGTCTCATTTCTGTTTCCAGAAATATTACGATGCACCAAGTACAGCTACATCTACTCGGCCAGGGGACAGTAAGAAATAAACTATACTTTATCCTTTGCAACGATTGTATCTGTCAGAAGAATAACGCCAAACAAACCTAGTCAGGGAACACACTGAGCTTCCTTGGAAAAACACATCCAAATCGTGAGCTCATTTGAGAAGTTTAAGCTCCTTTTTTGACCCAGCGCTGCACAAGTTACCGAGCTGGGGACAGCGGCTGAACCGAACTCATTAGGCGCTCGGTCAAGCGCTGCTTCCCCGAGCCAGCTATTCCGCTGTGCACCCCGTTAGAGCCGGGAGCTCCAGTCGGCGCAGGACACCCGGAGCCAGGGGCTGCGCCAGGGTCCAGGCGCTGCGGCGGCCGCAGGAGCGCCTCAGCCAGGATGCGGCCGGGATGCGGGGGCGACGAGCGCTGTCAGGGGCTCGCTCCGTGACACGGGCACCGACCCGAGCGATCCCCGACCCCAGCCCTGTTCTCGGCCGCCAGCAGGGCCGGCGGGGTCCTCCTCAGCGCCGACCCGCTCCCCTCCGCTCCCGCCGCCGCCCCGGCAGGTGCGGCCCGGCCCGGCTCGGCCCCCCGCGCCGCCGGGGCCGCTCCTCCCCTCGCCCCCGCCGCAGCCCCCGGCCCGCCCTCCCCGCGGCACGGCAGCGGGGCCGGTGTGGAGGCGGGGGCCGGGTGCAGCTCCTACCTGCGGCTCCTACCTGCGGCTCCTGCGGCGGCCGCCAGCGCCAGACAGAGCGCGGGGAGCAGCGGCGGCGGCGCAGCGCGCATGGGAGCGGCCCGAGGGAGCGAGCGAGCGGCCCCGGCCCCCCCGCCCCGCGGGAGCGCAGTGACGGGCCCGCCGCCCGGGGAGCATGACGGGAAATTCCTGGGCACCGGCGGCCAACGCCAAATATGAACATGGAGTCGGGAGACTCCCGCCGCACGCCCGGCACGACCCGGCAGCGCGGGGAGGTGGTCGGCACCGTGTCCCGTCCCGCCGCCGAGGGACGGCCGAAGCGCCCTCTCCTAAAGGCTTAAAGGGTGCGCTTCGGACACGCCGACGAAGCGGCTCCTCGCCCCTTTAAAGAGACGTTCCCGCGGTTGCAAGGAAAGCCCCGGCCGGAGTGCCGTGCCCCTCAGCCGCCTGCGCGGCGCCGGCCGGGAGCGGGGGCAGCGCTCTCAGCCCCCACGGCTCCCAGCCGGACCCCGCTCCCGACTTCAGCACCGGCCGCGAAACCAGGACAGCGCCCAGTGCCCACCGTGCCCAGCTGCCAAAACGGAGGGAACTGAACGACATCGAACCTCTTCCTCCTCCTGCTCCCCTTCCCCACGCGACGCGAATATGTATGCGGGACAACTGACTGTAAATAATGGACTTACACACCTTTCTTTGTTCCTTCTATTCCCCAAACCTTCAACCTGTCATTAAAACAATTCTAAAGCAGCCTAAGATAATGACAAGAAAAAAAGCCAATCTCTTCTGTTAATCTATCAACACCCCTTTGATGACTCTTTGTATCTCAAAATACAAGGAAGAGGCTGAAAGCACAAGGTTATGGCTCTTCACCCCTGCCCTCTGGCAGGGGAGACAACATGGCATGTCCACGACTTAGGAATCAAGGTAATGTCTCTGCACTCCCTGTGTACAGAATCAGGACGAAAGTCAAGCTGAGAGTTAAGTGAAACTCAGCTGTGTGTGTCAGCTCACAGCAGCACCTGTTCGCATCTGAACAAATACTAAAAATTAATTCGGTGGCTGTAACAAATTAATCTCCCTCTCCACCCCCAGATGAGAAAAGCATTTGAGTCAGAGACACCCAAATATCTAGAAGGTGAGACACATATAAAAACCCCTAATAAACCTTTAATTCGAGTCTGGTTTGGTTTTTTGTTGGTTTTTACAGGATAGGGTGACAAGTTACAACAAACATCTGATTTTTCTCAAATGTTCAGATATTATACATATTCCCCTGTCTTGCAGGAAGGGATATCAGTCAACTTAACAGTTTAATGTAAAATAAGCTGCATAATAGTACATATTACAATTAAAATGTACAGTGTTTACAAGAAATATATCTTAGAAGCAAGATAGATGCATTTGCATCGAGGCGACCTTTTAAAATGCCACAGCTATTTTTACATTCACTCTTGCAACAGGTCACAAGATGGGGTCACTAAGGTCAGGTTAACAAATCACTATGATGCACATCAAATACAACAAAATTAGTTTATATACATATATATAATACATATACATGTATATTATACATATACATATATGTATATAATAAAACTCATCAAAAATCTACCAGACCTGGCACAATCCACTTACCCATCAAAAATATGTACTTGTCCTTGGTAAGTAGAATTCTGCATGGCTGATTATATATTATATATACTCATTCATTAGCATCTGAGACATAAAACCGAGGATTTAAAATTTTTCGGTTAACAAACTCTCCAATAATAAACAAGGTGCCCACAAAAGCACAAAGGTAAGGCACAATAGGATTTCCTGTTGCAGAATAGTGTGCATCATGTTTACTTAACCGTAAGAAAAACGTGCATTATTTGTGCAAGTTCATGCTGCAGATCCATCATATCTACAAAATAAAGTGAGTTTCAGTAAAATCTGTGGGACTGGTGTGCTTCCAGTCTCACCTCCTACAGGATGTCCAGCTGGATAACTAGGTAAAATTGTTATAGGAGTGGGGATTAGTAAAGCCAATAATCTTAGATTTGCAACTAAGCTTCTCAGCAACAATTTTGTACTTCTAGGTAAACATTAGTAAATTTACAAGCTTGGAATCACAAGATTTACTGTCAGCTGCACTTGCTTGCATGAGCCAAAATTGTTGCAAGGAAGTACGTACCTTTTAAAATTTTAACAGATAAATGGTTCGTTAAAATATGTTATAATGTACTGGGAACATCACTTAATCCAATGGTATTTTGTCACAGCCCTGACACTTGTAATAATAAATACAGCTTTTCACAAAATATTTTTCCAGTATCTGCCAATTGCTTCTTTATTGCTCACAAATTTGAATTCATTACAATTGGTATCAGACCTTTCACACAAAATCAGTCAGGTATTTTATATAAAACCTATAAAAGATATTTAACCTGTATCCAACACTTTTAGGCATTTGGCCTCTTGTCATGGTACAGCCAAAACCATATAAAACAATAGGTTTTGAATAAAATAGGAAGCTTATTTGCTGCTTCGATGCAGACATCTTCACAGAACACAACCCTTTTTGCCACCACCAGCATTTACATTTATATACAAAATCCAGTACATCCGCAATCAGTTCATCTTCCCTCACATTGATATGAAACCACTAATGCCAAATTCACTTTCCCCATACCCCAGCTGCAGAAAAAGATTCTTATACAGCAACAAAAAACTAATATTGACTGAATTTTTTTTTTTTTTAACTTATTTACCATCAGGAACTGTAGGTTGCTTGTTACAAAATACCCACAAGATTATTTCACAGGAAACTATGGAAATACAGGAAGTCTTCTTTTCTCCATGCTTTTGTATTATCAAAAACACTTCTTGGTGCAAAAATACGTCACCACATCTGCAAATGTATAATGAAATCGGTATTCCTCATGCAAAACTTAAATGCATCGGTTTACTATAGCCCCGGAAAACTTTGTGAAGCAACTTTTTTTTCTTTTTTGTCAGCTCAGTATTACTGCCTCATTGCTAAGTCCCTTTGGAAACAAGACTTCTGGAACGTTGAAACTTTTATTTAATTCTTTAAAGTATTACATAGAAAAAGCACTAAAAAAGGAAGACGGCAGCCAAACAGGAACATTCCTGTTGCAAGTAACAGTCCTAGCAGTTGTAGAAAGTTTTCTCAGGAACTTCCCTGAGAGTTAGTTGTGCCTGTCCGAAGACGCAGATGTGACATAGAGTTCATGTGTTTGTTTGATGGCTTCAGTGGAGTGTTACAAGTAAGAGCCTGGGGAAAACGATGATGATACCGATCTAGTCGCAGGTATTTTACTGTTACCAGCTTTCCTGTGAGGCAAAGAAATAGGAAAAGAGAAACCTTCCAGTTCAGTATTATTGCATTTTGCTTCAGGATGTAAAACACAAATATGTCATTACATCAAAATTAGTTTACTTTTTTTTTTTTCCTGTTTTTACTGCTCAATACTTTAGATACAAAACATTTCAACATTTAAAAGAATTCCAACTACACCCATCTTCTGCACTCACGGGTAATTTCTACCCATGTTTATAATAAAACTCCCATTCCTTACCATCAAACCAAGAGCCATGTAATGCCTTGAAAGCCTTTCCAGCATACTCCGGGGAGAGACACTTGACATATACACAGCCCTAAGTAAGAGAGAGAGGGGTTTGGGTTTTTTGCAAGTCTCGCTGAAAAGGATGAACAAAGTATTAAGATGTTACTGGAAAGTCACTCACCTCACGTGAATTTTTGTCTACGGCAATATGAACAATTCCATCATTATCACTACATTTCTCCAAGATTGCTTCTTGAATTGCTAGATGCCAGTGATCACCTATTTCCCTAGGCAAACAATGAAAGATTTCATGGATTACATAATTTTTTAAACATTCACAGCATTCTCATACTTCCCCACTGAGTCTGGTTTCTCTGTAACTTGCCATAATTTTCTGGTAAATACCTCAGGACAGATTTAGTACTTTTCCTATTGAATACACTGCAAATTTGCTCCTACAGCCCACTTTAGAAAATTCAACCCTACAAATCAAAAGGCAAAACTTCTGTTTTTGGGTTGGGGTGTTGTCCTAAAATGGGATTATACAAGTGATGCTTAGACTGATAGTTAAAAAACATTTCTGCCTTGCAGAGTAAATGTCTGAAACACACAACAAAGTCTGCTGCTGTGATGTGAGCGTTCACAATGTACAAGTGAACAAGCTGGACAAGTTGTTCCCTTGATATGAGTCCTCCCCGACTTTTGGCAGTAGAAAGATGATTATTTGCTGTGATAACATTAATAAAAACAAATTAACTGGTATATTCCCACATGAGTCTCAAGACAAGAAAAAAAGACTGGTTTCATGGGGCTGCTTCTAACAGCTACTAGTGTATTGCTGAAAAGAATTCACTAATTACTGTTAGTATACAGTCACTTAAAGAGCAGCTAAAACTAGTTTTGTTAAACATACCTTGCACCCACAGCAAAAGTCAAAACAATACTTGACAATCTAATCACAGACACTGGTACATTCTGTGTTTTAGGTGGTCAGTTGAAGTATTCATCCCTTTCAGTTCTGGGACAAGAACATAAGCCTCCTTCCTCTAATGACACAAGCAGATTAATAATACAGTTTTGTCTTGCACTTTGGATTACTGTTTGTGTTTTCTTTGAGATAACTCCAAGGGTATGATAAGAACAATTTCCTTAAGCAATTGTCCTCTCAAAGACAGCTCACAGAAGAATGCACTAGGGAATACAATATGAAACTGGATGAAGTATCCCACTATGAATGTAATCCAGCAGTCCATTAATGGAGCTAGGTCAACTTCCAAAAGAAAAGGTCTACAAGAAGTCAGTGTATTAAAAGTCACAATGTTCAAAATAGCTGACTGGATATAAGCACTAAAGACAAGTGTCAAAACACAATAACTCCTACTCTATAAATATGGGGGCTTTTTAATGCACCTGCTGGGCATGGACTGGGTCAATACTGAAAACCAGTGAAGCTTACAGCAAAGATATAGGCTAAAAAGGGAGCTTGCTCTGACAAAAGTAACACCTCAGTAATTAGTTCCATTAACAGCAGACATTTTGAACTGCTAATATTGTGCAACAACATACCAATAAATATTACAGTGAAGCTTCAGAAATGGACTTTTTCAGTACCACTCACACTAACCTATAACTAATATAGCTCACAAAGTCTTCTTTAAAGCAAGGACAATAAGGATGTTTATATCACTTAAAATTCTCTACAAATCCCATGTTTTATTTAGTACTCCTACAGGAGGATCAGTTTGCTTCAAGAACAACACCTAAACCTTCAGTGTTGTTCCCCCTACAGCAACCTGAAAATTATTATAGAAGCCACAGAAGCCAGTGTCTTCAACCAGTCATTAAGTCTTAAAGCCATTGAGAAAAGGTTTTTAGAGTACTTCTCTAGGCTAGGGGTAACACTGTCTTCAGCTACATTAACTTACAGTTCTTCAGTTAATAAGGAAAGGAACTAATTAAATGTGGCTAGAAAAAAGGCTGAAGAAATACATCCAATCTTTGCAATTATTTGTGTCCATACTCTGGTGTCCTCCCCTATTTCCTGTCCTAATCAACAGGTTTTATTTTCCACTCAACTTCTTATATTCTTCAGTCCCAAGTAGCATCTCACATTACCCTGTAAGACATAGCATCTGCATTTTTCCCTTGTATAATCATATTAAGGAACAATTTACTCCAGAGAAGTTACTGGAGTCCCTGTATCTCTTTACAGTGGACAAAGAAACTTTCAAGATTAGACAGGATTATCTGGCATAACATATGTGTTAGTTCTCAACTCCTACCATGATCTACTCCAGAGCCAAAGGGGATATAACAGAATAGCAGAGGCAGATGAAGATTTAAAAGACTACAAAAAATTAATTATTTTTCCTTAACTCCTGACGCATGAAACAAGGCTTGTTACTTATTCATACACAGTACATACTTCAGAATTTTGAGAATTACATGATCATTACAAGCCAGTACACAGCACTAATTTGTTCCCAGAACAAAAATCCGTTTGCTTCAAAATTAGGCAGTCACAGTACCATAAAGTAGTAAGTGATTTAAATTCAGCCTTTTAAATGCAAACTCTGTGCAAGCTCCAAATACTCCGGAATATTTAACAACACTTTAAAAACTTACTTGTCAGGCCACATGAGTCTCTTCTGTCAGATGATACAATTGAACATTTACAAATTTAATTAATGGAGAAACATCAGTCATTGCTCCAAACAGTTTGGCTATATACCACATCCTTCAAAAAGTGATCCAAAACCACACAGCAACACAATGAAGGACAGAAGACGAACAGTTAAGATTTTTTATGTCTTCTCATAGATGTTAAAAGAAACACTTTTTTTTTTTACAACCTGTTGGTTATTTTTTAACATGTTCATGTTTCTTCACTTCTTCCAAACCCCACTCAGAGGTAAGAAATGGACTCTTCCAAAGGAATGCAGAAATACAGATATATAACTGATTTTACTTACATAACTGGATCAAACATATTGCGAATCTTTAGACATGGTGTCAAGCTGTTTGGTGGTGAATTTCTTCTATCTAGATGAAATGCTAAAAAAAAAATAAATACTAATTATTGACAAGCATAATAGCATTGAGTTAAGAAATGTCAGCTTTATGCTTTAATACCTTTCTAGTTTTACTCAGAAGAAAGTTTCCTTCCTATATGAAAGAATTCAAGCAAATTAAGCTTTTCAGTCTTCCACCACACTGAAGAAAACATACCATATTTAGCTGAATTTTTTATACTTATAACTTCTACATTTAAGGCACTCTCTAATAAACAAGCCACATGGAAGGAATTCAGCTTATTTTAAAAAAATACCATATACTTGAAAAGAAAGGATATGCACTACATCTCCATGAAAAGACAGATATACATAACACCTGGAGTAAATTTTTGGAACTGGAAGTTAACAATACAAATCTAAATATGCCTGATCGATTTTTATTTCTTCCATTTTTGGGACAATTTGCTGCCCACCTGGCTAATAAATAGGGAAACCTTAAGATGGATGTTGCATTGCATCTGTAGTGCAGTAACATGTCAAGAATGCTCTACAAGGACAGGGCTTTTGTAGCCCTAAATGATCACACATGATCAGAAGCTTCTAAAAATCTAAAATGAAACATACCAGAAGAAAAAACAGATGTAAGAAAAATGAAAGTCAAAAATAACAGAGTAACTCAAAGCTGAATTGTGCCATGAAATACCTTCTGAAATCCTAAAAGAAATATTAACTTCTCTGAAGTTCACAAATTCTACTTGTGGGAGTCACAAGAGAAGACTGTACCATGAGAAAAGGAATCAACGAGCATTTCAGATTCAGATAGGGCAGCTCCATATGCCTTGAGAAGGGCTAACAAAGCAGCAACCGAAAGGGGGTAACCTAGTAAAACAGCTTTCAAGGCTTGAAGGAAGTTTTACTTTGAAGATTGAGATAAGTAGATTCAAGAGCTTAAACATAAGGTTAAAAATCTCAACAAGAAAAAATGACATTCCAAACTGCTGCTAATGCTTCTCCTTTGCAGTCCCTACTTCAGAAAAATGTGACATATTCAAGATGTTACATTCCAAGGGTCAAAAGTCTCTGTATTGGGCAGATGTCTTGTGATTCTTATTGCCGATATTTTAAAATTTTTAAATTACATCCAAAATATATGAACAATGCTGCTCTTCTGTATGCCACCCAAACAAAAAACATGTCACACAGGCAAAATTAAGTCATGTGAAAGATGCTGCTTGTGAAAGACAAGCACTAACCAAGAAAAAATTCACTGGAGATACAGCATAGAAAACCTGCTTCTTATGTAAATTCCCAAGACAAATAAAATACAATTACCGACTGAAAATTAGAAAAGGTAGCATCAAATTCTAATATCAAGCCTACTGCAAGTTCCCCAAATAACTAAAAACGTTCTTATTAAGAATACACATGCACACAGAGTGCAAGTCACCAACACCTGTCTGTTTTTCTCTTGGGAACAGATTTCCAAATATGCTGGTGACACTGCATCTACCTCTGAGCTTCCTATAGTTTAAGGACAAGTCCTTTTTCAATAGCACATGGTTTTGTAAAGTTTTTTGTCCCTTATTAAAAATTATACATAGGGTATACAACAAAAACTTTACAGAACTAAGCAACATTGAAAAATACGTGGACTTACCTTACTCATGGAGGTTGGCTCCAGCAGATCAAGGGTGGGGTGAAATGTCACCAGCATATTGTACACTGGGGCACCACACCATACTGGAGAAGGTGGTCTGGGGTAGCCTAGTCATGGACCCGGACCTGGAAAGGTGTGGGGTTGAGGAAATTATGTGCTGATTGTTTATCACTAGGTTTATTCAGCACATGGTTTTAATCTAAGGATAACAAATGGTGAGGTTATTTGCAGAGATCCTGGACCCAGAGGATCTACATTTCTGCAAGCTTTTTATCAACTAAATAAAAAATCCATACTGATATTTATGGAAGCAGCTACACCACTGAGCTAAAGTAACTAAATGGGAGATTCACCCTTTAGTGTAGTTACCTATATAAACCAAGCTTTGTCTGTTCCAGTTTCTAATAACTCTGATGTCCTTTTGACTGGAAGATCTCAGGTGTTTACTGAGATAACTTCAGCCAGAGCCTACCACCAGCACAAGACTAAACTGCTTCTAACAATGTAACATCCTACTGGTAGAGATGTGTGCCCAGAGCAGTGCAGCATATGAAAATAAAGAAGTCTCTCTTCTCAAAAAAACTTCAAAATCATGGTAAACTAAAAATAATCTTTGCAACTTAGATGGAGTGTTTCACGTATAAGGGAAAAAAAATACCATGGAAATCAGTGAGGTGTGAAATTAAGGCTAGAACAATAATAAGCCTTAATATGTATACCAGAAATGGTACCAAAAAGAGAGCTTAGAGAAGACAGTGGCAAGTTAATGCTGTACCTACACAACAAAACTGAAAATAGCATAGTTAACTGGTATCTCTTGAACTTCATTACATGAAGTAAGAACTGATTCTCCCCCTCCCCCAAGAGGAAGTTTCACTGACAAAGCTATTCAGAATACAGTACTGATTATTTGAAAATTACATTGGCGTGAGCATACAAAATATTCATGATAAGGGCATAAGCAGACATCCTTGCAGGAAAACAGTCTAAGTTGCACACTGGTTAACTATGTATCTCACAGCTTTTTCTACACAGGTCTACACAGCTTTCAAGTTGAAAATAGAGAGGTAAAGATGAAATCCAAAAGCAGAGGCACAAGTTTGTGCAGTAAGTCACTGGGGAGAAAAAATTCAGGACTTTCATAAATTCCCCTTGGGGATTACTGAGCACTTAAAAGAAAAGGAAGTTACTTTTTATTTAATTCATAATGTATTTTGTTTTACCACCTTAAACTATCACTGTATCATTCCAGATTCCAAGAGCAGCAGCAGCTAATAGATGCTTTCATCAACTCCTTTATCGGTCTATGATGGAAGAAGTGCCTCTTGCACTGGCTTCAAAATGAACATTGAAAACATTGTAGTAGAGCTTTCTATGCCCCTTGAATTACTAATATATTATTGCAAAAGGAATTCCAAGTATCATTACCATGGGTTACAACACAGCCCCAAAGGATCTTTAGATGTGAATTTGATGAACCCGGTAAGGCCGAAGACTTGCCTCAAATATCGGTAATAGTGTTTCTTAAAACCAGGTTTCATCAGTGTTAAACTACAGATCACTGCAATTTATTAAGTACTAACCCTTCTTATCAAAGGCAAGAACAAAAAAAGAAAACAATTACCTGAAAATATTGAAGTATGCCTAAACAACATGAGGTTCTTTAATACACACAGAAGATACTGAAATGATTATCTTACCAAACAGAAAAGTATGGTTGAATCGAGGTTTTATATAGTTAATTCAGCTACAGAAGACAAACACAGGATGGATACAGAATTTTACAAGCAGCATGAAACCCAGTTTTCTTGCAATAGTTAAGAGTTTTAATTGTGGTTTGGGGTCTTTTTGTTTGTTTTTGTTCAGAGAAAGGATTATGTTCTCACAAGCTGGAGAGGGAGGAGGGTGTCATTCACAAAAGGCAACAGGTTATCTTCCATGCTGCAGGATGAAATATCACCCTAGATTTGGTACTTCAGAGAACCTCTTTATCTCATCTCCAGAGCTGTCAAGGAACTGCAGCTTCTACTGTTAGCTTAGCTACACTGCTTACGTAGTTTTCTTCAGAGCTCCTGTTATCAAAGATGTGATAGGACAATTGTATCTGTTTTTTTCAAAAGCAAACTGAACACACTAGAATTGTGGGGTTCTCTCCACTGATTTAATTAAATCACTTGACATGATCAAGATTGTGTCTCAGTTGACTATACTCTTGTACATTGTTTTCAAAACATCGCATTTGTCCATCCTACAATGAGCTTCCCTACACTTTTCTTTTTAACAAATACACCTACTGCATCTAGTAGGTAATATTTCAAAGGGATGGCACCAGAATTTATTCTGATCCAGAAAAAAAAAAACCAACAAAACTGTCAAAACACAGGCTGCATCCTGAAGGACTGGACAAAATGTCACAGTGATGGGTTAACACACTGCTGACAGACAGCAGACATTAGATCCCACAAACTACAGGTCCCACAGTTAAAATGCACACTATCATTTCATGGATGATCCTTGTATAGTCTGACAGGCCATTCTGAAAAGGGTTTCTTCTTCAATTGCACATACTCATGCGCTGTTCTCTGCTAAAGAGCACTTCCAGATCTCAGATAGTTAAAAAATTGCAAGCTTGAAATTTATTCAGAAGATTCAGACCCAAGAATTCATTATGATTTTCTGTATGCTGAGTCTGTTCAGGGCATATCAGTCTTGAAGAGTATTTATACTTACGAACTTCTACGTTCAAACATCAGAACTGGCGTATGAACTTAAATTTGAGTTAATGTATACTTCCAAGAAAGGAAGAAAGCAACACATACATGTAGAATTCCTAACATCAGGAAAGAAATAGCTGTGCAAAAAGCATGAGACTTATGCAACAGAACTATTTCCAAAAGTCATTTGAACACAAAGAGTGCAAAACAGAAAGGGCCTTCAAAATTGCCTTTGCCTTCTGACTGTCAAGAACCCAATAACCCATTGTCATTTCAGCCACCCCATCTCCACACCCTTCTGTTAGAGCTGAAGTATGCAATTTCAGTTCTTCAAAGATCTTTGCTAAACTTCAAACATAACAAGAAAATTAGGAAAATTGCAATTAAAAGGACTGAAACAGAATGGATTTTGATACATTCTATACAACAGAAAACAGAGAGTCTTAAGTACATACTCTAAGCAACATAAAGTTATTCTGTCCACATTTGCAATATGCTGAAGTAGGTATCAGATGGTCAGACTGGGATGGTACCCAACAGTAGCTGTCTTTCTAGGAAGTTTTGGAGACCACTGTTCTGTTTACAAATAGCAAAACACCACCTGAGCTATCACAACCTGAGGAGTCTCCAGGTGAGGATAATCTAATCCAATTTCTAATACAGGACAGAACGTCATGAAGTGATGTATACTGCAGTCAAACAGAACAAGAAAAACTGAGAGCAAATGAGTAGTAAATTAGAACTAGAGCATGATGTTTCCCAGCCTGCACTAAACAATACACTATGCAGAAGATTCAGATTTATAATACATTTATATAACATGCAGAAGCTGTGTTCAATTTCAGTGTTTGAAATTCAATCGTGGCAGTACTACAGAGATGGAATAGAAAGAGCTGTTTACAAAACCCACCATTTCTGTATTGCAACTAAAGCACTTGTACATCCCTAATGTACAATGTCCTGGAAAGAAAAGGTTCTGCAACTCTTGGAATAAAGTCCATATACACATCTTACTAATGAAAGCTTTGAGAAATTGAGAAATCAAACAATACAGTGGTCATGGCATAATGCTACATTACTTTACTGCAAACACAGAACCTCAAGCCTGAAGTAGCATCCACGTGGAATTTTTTAAAAAGCAGCCCCATTTCCAATGAATTATTTAAAGTGAGAAATGTAACACTAAAACCAATAGTGTAAGTTTGAGAAGTATATAATGATATTACTTACTTTCACACTCAGGCTAAGATAGAAATGACCATTCTTTAATTGCAAACCAGAATTCAAGTCCTATCATTTCAATTTTTCATTGACCAAAAAAAAGAGCAACCCAAAACCTGAAGCTTGACATGAAGAAAGGTAGAAAGAAAACAAACCAGGAAAATATGACCACTGCAGACATACAACTACAAACCTGCTAGAATCTTGCCACTTGGTGTCATGATAAAACTGAAAAGTGACAGACCAGTGCAAAATCCATGTATGACAAACTGCCTTCTCTATTAAAGGAAATGCTTTACACCACACAGTTTGAAAAACAAAGGCAGTGTAGAAAAACATTTATGACAGAGCTAGAACATCGAACACTACTAGATGTTCCAAATGCACATTTTCCTAATAGAGGAGTCTTTTGTCCTGGCAGTTTCCTTTTGAAATAAAACATCTCCTACTCCTCATTGACCTTAAGGCACCTTACTGACAACTTAACAGTAGGAAACTTAAGTCTGTAAGATCCAATTTACCTGCTGCCAGATACAACCAATTACATTACTTCCAGTAATTGTAAGGCATGTCAGAATTTGACCAACTAAAGAGCATTTCTTTTTTTAATTCACAAAAAAAAAAGAAGCAACTCACTTTGGCTAAATACCCAATACATATTTCTGCAGTAGCTGTAACAGAAAAGCTCATTTCCCTTGAAAACAAGGCAGACACAATGCACCAAAAAAGTAAGTCCACAGAACAAGATAACAGAGAAATAGCACAGACAGTTCATAACAATCCTGAAATGTACAAGAGAAAACAAGCCTTTCATGTTCAAGCAACAGAGTAGCATTTGTAAGTTAGATGCAGAAATTAAGACAATTATATCTGCAAAATATATCTTAAATACCTTGGCCTTGCCATACTTTCGATGGTATTACTAAAATTTTGTCACATGCTGCAGAAGGCTGCATCCACTTCCAAACCAAGAACTCAGCACCACCAACTCTTCTTGTCTCTGTACGAACTCTAGATTCATTTGCTGCAAGAAAGTCAACTGCTCTGTTCCAGACTTTATTCATCTTCCGCCTTCAAAATTGAAGCAAGAATTACAAAGTTAGCATTACAACAACCTGCATAGTTGACATCCACTGTGTAAAACAAATCCAATGCTTTTCCTCCCACCTGTGTCAATAGGAATCTCCAAAATATTACACTGTGCAATCTATTAAGAAATTAAGTTATTTCTATCTGAAATTAAGTTAATTGACCAATTTATTTTTACTGGTTTTCCCTCCTTTCAATACTTCTAGTAAGAACGTACCTGTCCTGAGGTGGTATTAGAGAATCACGCACATGTAAAATTGGCATATAAGGCTGCAACTCTTTATTTTCAGAACATGCCTCGCTGTGGCTTCTTAAAACATCTGAGGACACCATAAAAAGAAATCAAACTGATAACTATGTAGCTCAGGCAAAAATTAAGAAAAGCATCACTTCTGGCAATTAACAGATACTCTGAACACCCCTCCCAATTTCAGTAGTTAGGTTTTCCTTGCATTTTGAAACATTGTTTTCTCCAAATCATTCTTAAGGCAAATTAACCTAAAAGTGAGTGCATCTATGTCAAATATATCAAATAACTTTGAAGTAATGGAAGAGAGTTCTTACAGTTACTCTTCACTGGTACTTTTTAAGTGTTAGCAAAGATGGCCATCTTTGAAAATAAAATGTTCTCCTCCCACCTCAACAAAACTTGATTTTCAGACAAAAAAGGTAGACACATGGTTAAAATAGAACAGTTCTGATTTCTCTACCATCTCTGTATTTATGGTGACTACCATTAATGCAATTAATAACACAACTTAAGTAAGAGTTTAAAAACTACAAACAACCTACTGCAAACACTGTGGCTTCGAGTAGAAAGAGGGGATTTTGGAGCTTAGGCATATTGTTTTAGCAATATAATTTCTGCTCAAAGTAATTAATTAAAAAGCTACTTTTTCAATGAAAAAACATTAAGGATGGTATCAAGAGCTACCACACATTTTTGAAATGGATATTTTAACTGAAGTTAGCTGAAAAAACAGATACAGAAAGCAACAAGTGACCATACTTCAGTAAACAAACATTGCATTTATATTTGTATTCAACAGTAGGACAAAAGACTACCAAGTCAATGGCAACTTTATAGACATATTGATGTCATTCACAAATTACAAGCTTTATGTCAAAAGCTTTGATTAGGTTTAAAGGATAGGGTATTTAAAAAAAAATAAAGAGAAAAACAAAACACATGGATTACATTGGACTAAGAACTCTAACAGCATAATGACTAGTAAACAGGAAGAAACATAACTGAATTAATGCCAATACTTTGAAAGCTTATACAAAACTGATACATTAGACACGACTGCAGAAGCCATACCTATGATTTTCACCACCATATCATACATCTGCTTTGTTTCTTCTTCCTCTTTTGCCCAACGGTATTTCATGTAGTGTAAGACTCCCCAAACCATTGCTATACCTGTATTAACATGCATAGTAGTCTTTAAGCAGTATTAGAGCATTGGATATTTAACAGAGTTTACAGGGCATACTTCAGAAGTAGACTGAACTACCCAACATGCACTGCACATTCCAAAGTTAGTGAAATACTGTGTACTTGCTGTCTGTATTTTATACTCTAACACAGAAACACAAACTCTTCCACTTGAAAGAGCAGTTACTTCTAGAACAAACATTTCACTGTTTTAAGAACAGCTCAATATCCCAGATCATCTTTTCTGCAGTTACTTTTTAAACTTCCTGGAACAACAGTGAAATATCCTTAAAATAAAGGCTATCATCTTTTTACTGAACAGTTTGCTTTTTCTGACCAGTTCAACATGGAACTTTTGAAAGCTACAAGATACTGTTCTGGCAGGGAAAAATGTTTCCCAAAGAATGAATATGTTCAGCAGACTACAGAAGCAGATGATAACAACCAATCTGGAAATACAGTGGTGCAACAGAAATGCAAATCAAGCCCCAATTTAATAAAGAAACAATAGAAACTCTAAGTTGAATAAAAACTTCCTCTAAACTTGCTTTTCCCCATGCACTTAGATAAATACAACAAAAAAATGTTGACTGTTTTATTAACTTACCCCAAAGCAATATTGATAATTTGTGAGTTACATTAACAAATGCACGGCGAAAACGACACCTGAAAGACATCTTTGGACTAGTGGATTCCAGATACTTCACATCTGTCACATTAGTGACATCCATCTCATTAGGGTCATTGCTGAGACACCTATTCAAAAATATACAGTACTTATGAAAAGAGATACATTCTCTTAGAAGAAATTAAGTTAAGAAATAAACACCACTTACTTTATGCCAACATCTTCTCCACTATTCAAGATCCATTGTAATGATGTGTTAAGTACACTTTCATATTCTGGATCTAAATTCTGTCAAAATACAATATTAATTAGTAATTTCATAAATAATCAGGGAGTTATCACGCCAAAATAAAACCGAGATACTGCACAGATTAGTAGTCAAAACTATATTGTTTTGTTCCTGATTCTTCAGATTTTGAATAGGTGTTCACTGCATAAAGTCAATCTATTTATGCTACAAGCAGTTCTCACCAGCACCCCTCAAACTAAGGACTATTTGAAAAGCCAAGCCACATTCATCTTTTTAGTTACGACTCTAATTGAGAGCAAGAAAAAATTATTCAGCCACTAGGCGGCAATCACTGGAAACCTACTCCGGGAGCGAAACTCCAACTACATCAGAACTCTGCTGGAAATGCCTCCTACAAAAGCAGTTCCATGTTCCGTCCTTTTTTAAGAAGCTTGAGTAAATATAGTTTTAGCAGATATTTTGAAAAAAAAACCCCAGTATTTGTAGCTCAAGACCAGACATCACTACATAAGAGACTGACTTTTTTTTTTAATTATTTGATATAAATTCTAATAGGATAACATTCACTGCTATCTGAGAGCTAAGGCTTTCTCCATAGCTCATTTTGCATGTTCTTTTGCAGAAAGAGAAAAGTGAAAATGGAAGTTACTGTTGTATTTGAAATTATAGTCCCCAGAAAGTTTTATTTTCATCTTTCCTCTGAACCTCACATTGGCTTAGAATTCAAGTACTTAAGTACTTAAGACAGTAATGGTCTTATTTTACCTTAATGAGATTAAAGTATTGAAAATTTTATCACTGAACACAGAAATTCTGCAAAGCTACAATACAGTTAAATAAGACTTCCTGCAAAGCAACAAATTTTCATATTAAATTTGAGCTTTCTCGCAGAGCTAAAACAGTTATGGTAACAGTAAATAGTTACATCATTCTTTTAGAATAACAGATATACAAGACAATCAGCTCTAGCGCATCACCTTAATTTTTTCCACAATGCACTGGTTTTAACAGATACAGATTATTATTGCCAAACCATAAACCAGTGTTAGCAGCTTCTTTGGGATGCTCTAAAGCATTGCCCCTTTTTGTCTACTCCATAAAAGTTTGCCAAAGTGTAAAATTTCTATACATTTGTATATTAAATACATCCATTTAACTCCTCCCCATCCAGTCAAAGAAATCCTACACACTCTGCCTCTTAAAAGCTTCAAGTAGTTTTCCACTGAAGAGTACACCAACACGGGCTAAAATAAACCCTACAGCTGTCAAGACAAGGCAAGAGTCATCTTTTATTTGGGGAGTGAGGCAGGCGAATGACAGAGTGGGATTTCATAATACTGCTCAGTGATCAAATTAACAAAAAGGCCTTTTTTTGACCATTTCTATTTAAAGCATCAATGAATAGCCTCTTCCAAACAGCTGCTGCCTGTCAGGCTGCTTGTACAGACCGTGCACATCAACCCTTCTCTACAAAGAAAGTAAAACAGTATCCTTTTCTACTAAGTCTCAAAAACCAACACAGTGATTTCTGGAGAAGCTTCTAGATATTTGAGTTTTATAAATTTATTATTTTCATGTTGGTCAACTATTTCCATCAATCCAAATAATCTCCTGGTATTTTAATGAAAGAGATAAAAACCCTGCATGTCATTGAAGCACTACGAGCTAAACTTTCATTGCAATTAAATCATTCTTTTACCCTCCCTCTCCCCAGCTGCCACTACATCCACAAATAAAAATCATACACAGCATGTATTGAAGTTATCAGTTCCAATAATTTCCAAATAATATTCAATATTAAGTCAAATTTTAGTCAATACACCAGACATGAAAACAGTCGTTACAAACTGTAACTCACATAAATCTTCTATACAGGCAATGAAAAACAACTCATTTGCTTACTTTTAAATATGCAGCTGCCTCTTGGACGGAAAGGTTTCTTTGAATAGAGCTGCCACATTCATGTTCCCCTGGTAAAATGAAAACTTTTATTTTGATCTATTTATTACTGCAGTATATAAAATACAATCACCTAAACACCAGCTTATGGTTAACAAAATTTACACAACCAGCAATAGCAGTATAGTAATTCTCATAGGTTCCACTAAAAATATGGAAAAAAATCTCTGCACGAATTTCTCCTTCAAAAGTGATTTTAAAATGCCAACGATTTTCAGAGCTAATAATATGTACAAATCACAGCAATGCAATCTCATGTACTGCTCAGAGAGTGTATTTCCAAAAGCAGAACAATAGGTAGCATGAAGAACTATAAGAAGGACATTACCATAAAAGTTACTGTACCCAGACTCACCTTCCAGATATTTTCCTTTAACTCCGAAACCTGTATTATCTTTAATAAAGACCAAGTTTCAGTTGCAATACATCCATAGTATTTAAGGCATTATGAAGTTACTGCATTTTAGATTGGCCTAAGTTATTCTGGTAACTCATTGCTTTTCTGAACATGCACAAAATCCCACTATGGCTTGAAACGGGCGCTTTTACCATCTCCTAGTAGTTTTGGAATGTGTGCAGAAGTAGCCAGGAAATATGATATTTATATGCATAGACAGTCCTCAGAACAATGTGCCATAATCTCCCTGGTTTTCTCTGCTAAACTAAAGGTAAATGGTTCATAAAACAAAACTAAAGTAGTGGAAGTAGTGACAGTCATATCAACAGAAAGACACACAGAAAAAGGTGATGGTAACTGGTGTTAGCAGCAGTTTTTCACCTATCACTAGGCCATCATTTCTGCAGAACTGTCAGCAGTGGCAAGTCACTTTTTTCCCCTGATATTTCTATAAAAAACTTTGTATCTTGGCATCTGTAACTATGCTTTTACTGTGCCAAAACAATAAAATAGGAAACAACAAACCCAGTCTTCCACTGGCTCAGCATTATGCCTGCCTTACCTTCTTGAATCTATGCCAAGTTGTACTATTCCCAAAGCTATAGAAAGGCTAAGAAAATTTAAGATACTTGTGCTTCTATAAAACATAAACATTCATTTATATTGAAATTACACTTCAGAAAAAGCAATTTCAAGTATTATTCCCTACACAAGCAGGAACATTCAAAGCAATGTGAGTAAAAGTTAGGAAACACTAGCAAGTTATGGAGAAGCACCTTCATGGCTCATTCATTTGGAGTTCCAAAGAAACACACATTTCTATGAAGCCAAAGTCCTTCTCAGACTGCTGTTTTGTTCTGTACACTTGAACAGATTTAAGAGAATTTGGCCTTGCAAGCATATCAGCGTAACAGGGATGCTCTTACTGTTGTGATACAGAGAAATGGGAACAGTGTTTTTAAGAGTGCTCATATACTAACTGGCCTAGAGGTGCTGCTGGAACTAAGCCTGTGTCCATGCATGTATTTTCAATCAAGCACAGAGCAGAAAACTTAACAAGTTGTTTCACTTGAAAATGCAATGTCTAAGACTTTCAAAGTGCCTTAGTCTACTGCAATAGCAAAACTAGACAGATTGCTGCTGAAACTGGACACCACTTTCATAAAAACCCAGTCTAATTTTAGAACTCAGCACCTGAATTGGAGCTATAGGCTTTTCTTGTAATTTAGGCAGACTTCGTTTTTGTACAACATAAACTGTACAGCCTGTAAATTTACATGTGTAATCATCAGTGATTTATGTTTCAAAATTAGCAGACTTGGAATAACTATACATCATACTCATACAGTCTCTGGTGTATTGTTTAAATATTGTTTTAAATCTAGAACTGATGGAATAAATACAACAAATCCAAAACACATCTCTGTAGAAGCCATAAGTACAATTTACATCTGATGTTAAGTTGTATAATGTGAGCAAGCCTGACAAATATTCCTACATTTAAGTCTTTTCCCTTGTTAGTTAAGACCTGAAGTCTTTCTGTGGTCTTTTTAATACAGAGAAAGCATGCCAGTCATACTTTGACCAAAACAGCTTGTGAGAGAAGGGGGATGAGACCCTCCTGCTAAGAAGCTTTTCTTTGGTTGTTTTTTTCATTATCTAGATAAGCAGAAAAGCCCTGTTATGAAATAAATGAGAGAGAATAAAGAGGGTGAGGTTAATACACAGATGAGAAAGCAAACCAAACACGCAAGCAGGAAACTGATTGTGAAAAATATGAATTCTTAAAAACAGGTTTCAGGGTTCATGTTGGATTTTCCACCTTTTGAGAACACAGCATTACCTTTTACAACAGGACAAAAGCACCCTGAGGTAGGGGACTACTGAATTTAGTAATTTGAAATGCTAATCTTATTTGCCTTCTTCCAAGAATTACATTTATGCAGCACGCAGCCAGCACACTGACTTAACAGCTTCTGGTCTCATCTCCAGAAACCAGCAGTTTCCTCTCAGTCCTGCTGCTGAAATTTTTTTCTAACTGTATTCCCTCTGAACAAGTTTAACAGTTAAAAACACCTTTGCTACCCAGGCTGTGACAATGTCTAAGGCACATCAGTTCAAATTTCCCTCAAGCAATACTGGGACAGGGGGAAGAGGAATAAAAATCACTTTCATCTTGTCTCCCACTCTCGAAAACAGTAAGCTAATCAGAGTTACGGAGTTTTGGTCTTGTACAAAAAGCTATTGGAGACACAGCTCCTTGTTCCAATACATCTTTTGCTGAGAACCATTTAACAGCTTTCTTCTGAGAAACTCATGAATTTGAAAGCTTGCAGAAAGTTAGGCACTTCACAAGTCAGACAACCTTCTGTTTTACTGCAACAGCAGGATATTCCTATATGCCATTTCAGTCATTGCGTTAGCTAATAGTTCTGCAAATGAAGGCTTACGTTGAATAACTTTGGTGCAATCATTAACCACTTGGCCTGGAAACCCAGTTTCCATAGTCTGAGCCAAAAATGTTTCCCAACTGTTCCATTTGAGGCTCTATATTCAGGAATAAAACTGAAGAACAGGCAGAAAAAACGTTACACAAGTCTGCTGCAAGATACATTTGAGTTCTTTGTAAAAACTGCCCCTCTGTTACAATGTCTGCTGTGAGCTTACAGAAAGCATGTATCTTTGAGCTTAAACTTTCCTTGGGCACCAATTTCAAGAGCAAAGAACTTTTCTATTTGTTCTTGTAGGGAGGCAAAAAGTAGCACATCCCAGCAAGGATCACAAAACTACACTTTAGCTTATGTTAGTGTATTTGGGCAAGCCACTTAAGAAATCAAATTCTTTTAGTAATACTACCAAAAAGCAACTAAAGCTCCAGTTCTAAAGAAATATTATGTCTCAACTGCTTCTAACACAGAAACCAAGTCAGATCATCTTTTTCATGCAGGCTAGAACATTTAAAACTGACTTTCCTTTAGGCATTTAACTTATGAACTGCACCATATAAAGGCAACAGAAATATCCAGAATTTTGAATACTTTACACTGTAAACAATTTTCTCATTTGGCAGCAAAACACAGTGGAAATCTAGTATTTCAAGGAAGACATGGATTTAGCATAGATCTCTACCTTACAGCTTAATGTGATATGGTCACCAATACAAACTGCAAGTTCTCATGTTTTCAGGTTCCTTGCAGCAGAACACTAAAGTGGGGAGCTCAAGAAAAGCAGAGGCAGACCAAGAGCAAGTAAGAATGCCCCATCTCCCAAAGGCAAATTCAACAGCTCAATAACACTGCAGAACACCAGAACTTGCTAAATAGCTGCTCAATCATTGGTTGGAAACAGCATAGCATCAATTACCTGAAAAACCAAATATTAAGGAGAGGGACAGAGCCTGTGACAGCCATTGGATACAGTAGCTGATATCTGAAATTAATATTAAGTAACGTTAGGTGTTTTGCCAGAATTTTCTTCCAGTTACAGATTTATTAGGAAGCTTTATTACATAAAAAAGCCTAATTCCCCCCTGCACCTCAAGAACCTGTAAAAAGAAGGAAACTATCTAAATCCAGTAGTCTGTCACACTGAAGAATGCCAGGCAAAAGGAACAGCTACCTAAAAAATCCTTTATCTACAAGAAAGGGTCATACCCATGGGTAGCTGGTTGCTTCTTGTGTATATAGTGGCTAGATTTATTCATTTTGCAAGTCTGACTGAAAATTGATGTGATCTATTGAAATCTCTCCATGAAAGACCAAGACATCCAGTAATTAACATATGCTATTTAAAAAAGCAGATATTTTGGTTTAGCAGAAAGTGTCGGGTACTGAAATGTATACTGTTTGTAAAATGTTGCTGTTTTGAACAATGGCAAAACTATTCAAGACACGAACACAGGAACACAAACTTCAACTCAAGGGAGAAGTACTATCTGCTCATGCAGTCCTGAGTTTCCTGTGAGGCAAAAATTACTTGCTGTAGGTTGAACAGACTAGTAATTCAGAGAACGGTGATGCATTAAAGGCAACCTATTTTTATACTGGATAGTTAAATAATTTGACATCGTATTGCAGCACCACAGTTCAGAATAGGTATCTACAGTTGGAACATAGTATATTAAGTCAAAATTAATGAATTCTTATTCTGACATTTTCTTCCTTAAAAAAACTTCATATTCTATCTTCTAAAATAAAAGCCCCATCACTTTCCCTCCATTTGAAGTTGACAAGGTAAGAAACTAGATCAGTAAAAATAAGTCTCTTTTATTAAACAGAGCAAGAAACCAAATTTTGAGGGGACCATCTTTATGGAAGTCAAGATGTTGAATAAAGCTTAACAGAACCGACTACTTCAAGTTTCCAGCCTGCCTTTTTAATATTAATAGTTATAACATGAACAAATGATTCATAGCCAAGTATGAAATGAGAGAAACTTTTCCAAGTATGTGACAGAGAGACCTGAAAAGTACCACTTTGAGTAAATCTATATTCCTTAACTTCTCCTTTGAAGTGGTGCACTGTGCACAAGATCAACACTCAAATCCTGCATCTCACTTGCAGCTTCCTCTGTTTTATACCTTTTAAACTGCTTCCAGATATTGTGCCATGTCTACATCAATATGGTATGCAAAAACGGATGGCAGACATCTTCCTCTCGTATCTTAAGAAACTTGGCATTGAGGAGAATTTCTGTCTAAGTAGAGATGGATTAGGTCCTTCTTCAAAATGTATTAAAGCTACTCTGCTGAGCAACCAGGTAAGCTCACATTATAGCTCCAGTCTGAAGCACCACCTAACCAGAAAGGATAGTTGTATTTTTCAAAAGGAAGCATTTGAAGATCCTGCTGGCCAGAAATAGACTAATAGAGAATAATGCATCTTTGAGACCTGGTGAAGCAAGCAGCTGTCTTGGAGCACACAAATTTTCCTCATAAGGCAGACAGGTAAAGATTTGTATACGTCTATGTGCACTGAAATAAGCCCCCTTTCATGGATGTAGAAATTATGTGCCAAACTTTTTTATCCATGCAAATACATTGTTTACGTTGTATGGGCCCTGGAGGGCCAGATGACACACTGAACAAACAGCAAGCTGTTACACTCTTCAAAAGATAGGAAAGCAGCACAACAATGATCTAAGCAAGGAAAAGCAACAATCACCTTGAATACTCAGTTATAGTATGGTCTACGTCAGAAGACAAAGATGATTAAGAGACTGAAGCATCTCTCTTATGAGGAAAACTGATGGGGCTGGACCTGCTCAGCCACAAGAGACAGCTGAGAGGGGAGCTCATCAGTGTCTATAATCATCTGAAGGGAAGATGTCAAGGAGGGAGCCAGGCTCTTCTAGGTGGTACCCAGCAATAGGACAAGAGGCAAGGGGCAGAGATTGATGCACAGGAAGTTCCACCTGAATGTGAGGAAGAACTTCTTTATTGTGTGGGTGACTGAGGACTGGAACAGATTGCCCAGAAAGCATGCGGAATCTCCCTTGCTGGAGACGTTCAAGAACTGTTTGGATGCAATCCTATGCCATGATCTCTGGGATGAGCAAGGAGGTTGTTCTCTCTGCTTGAGCAAGGAGGTTGGCCCAAATGACCCACTGTGATTCTGTCCAACTTGACCCATTCTGTGATTCTCTGAATTCACAGACCATTCTGTAAAACAAACCAAAATGTATGGAGCTTGTCCAAACACCTATTTTATTCACAGCAGACAATGTAAATGCTGAGGAAAGAAAATGTTTCTGCAGAAAGATGGATTACTGATGCAATTTAAATGGTATTACAGAGCTGCTCAAATTTCTCACACATTTTCTATTCAGCCTTGACATATTACATTGTCAGCTTTGTATCTGACACAGAGTTGTTTCCACATGTTTTCATGTTTGCAAAATATCTGTAGCACGTGATAATAATGGAAAAGCCTTCTTGGTAAAACTTGCTGATGCAAAACAAATAGTTGGCACAAAGACCAGCAAGACCTCCTGAATGCATTATGGGTTAAATATTCAAGGATGATAAAACCTGTTTAATAGTCATGATACAGACTCAGCTGTAACTCTCATTCAACCAGATGCCAAAGTTGTAACCACAGCCTTAACTTCACCATTTCCTGATTGTGATGTGTAAGTATGTGTGCAGTTTAAAGCTGTGTTCCTTATGACTCTAGATAAAATCACTCTGTTTTTTACTTTGAATACTCAGTAATATTATCCCTAAACACCAAGCCTGGCACATTACTATATGCAGCACTTATCATTACTATGGAACTCATACGGTTAAGTTACAGGACTTTTTTGTAGCTGTTGCCATAATGTTACATCACAATATTTTTAAAGTATTACCTGCTACTTGCGCCAATTTATCATGAAGTGCATACAAGCTCTTCATCATGAGACTTATCTCATCTTCCTAGAATGAGAAAAACATATTTATGTTAAAACAAGCAGTAGTACAGATGTACTTTTTTCCATTTAACCCCAAAAATCTTCATATAATCTGAGGAAAAATCCCGATGGTTTACAGGTAGAAAGCTGTAACATCTCACAAATCAACAAAGATGCAGACAGTAGATTTCTGAATCCAAGTATTCAGTACATTGAATTTTCAGATCTTGACTGAAGCTAAACTAGATTGCAGCTTGGACTCTGACAGATCTGCCAGTTAAAACCAACAGACTCTCAGCAGTATTTTGATGCTACTGAGAGATTAGTGAAATTACTCAAAAGAAGTCTGTTTTGTTTGGGGTGGTTTTTGATAGCTACTATGTAAAAATAGAAGTTTTATTCTTTATAGATGTGCAACGACATTTTATACAAGCTACACTAAAGGACCATCTGGCCACATTCCAGCATAAAATTCAGAGCAAAGGAAGATTTTTGCTGTCTACGTTCAAACTATAGTAATTTAATTTAAAAAGCAAACAAACCAACCACCCCCACCGAACAAAAAGCCAAAACAAAGCACACCAGAAAGCTGTGGACTATCTTGTTGATGCTTCCTGCACACACCATAGTACAAAAAGGCCTAATTCTCAAAACAAGCATGAATATGAGATGTCATATAATTGCTACTTACAGGGAAGTTAAACTTATCAAGATATCAAACAATTTTATTTAAATATAACCAGGACCATTTTATATTAGAAGGAAATATTCAAAATATAAAGACAAAGAACATGCAATTACATACACATACAATTACATACACTAAAGCCTATTCTGAAATGTTGAAGTTTTATCAAAGGCTAAGACTAGAGCCTTCATTCAAAAAAATAGTCAAAAAAATTATTTTCCAGTTTGTGTATATGCTGATTATACTCATTTTGAACAAAACCTAACTATACTAGGCTTAATTCCCTGATGCACCAGCACTATTGACATAATTTTAAAATGCGAATAGTCCAATATTTTTCTGTAAGAAAACTGCTACCAGAAAAGCAAAATACTTCTTTCAAATACTTTCAATACTTATTTCTTGATCAAACAATGGACAAATTATTTCCCAGTAGCATTAACAACAATTACCAGTGTCACCTCTCCCTGTTCTGGTGCTACAGAACCATCACTGATACTAAGTTGATGTAGTTGATACTTCTCAGGAAACTAACCAATCTTACTAACTCTTTTCCTGGCCGGACAACACTGTGAATGGCAGAAGAAGAAAATCAGTCCTCCAGCACACATACACACCACCAGCAGTACTTCAAGTTCTGTTTATCTGCCAGTAGGTACACCCGTGATTCCACTACTAGCTACAGTGAGATGAACATGAGAAATATTACTGTGACCTTTTTTTTTTTCCTTATTAATGGTTGAACTGCATAAAAGAAAGAACCTAGTGGTGTAACCTTTGTAGCTAACAATCAAGCATGCAATAGGATTACTATGGAACACTGCAGTAGAAACAGATGAAAGTAACATATAGAACAGGTTCTCAGGCTGAGTCCAGTGCACAAAATGCATTCTCTTTGCACTAGTAATTATGAAAGAATCCGCAAAATCTGCCTCAAGAAATTTAATTTGTCAAGAGATTCAGAAACATTTTCTACCCAAGAAACCAGCCAATGCCACCTGCTTAATATGCAATTACTTTCAGAGAGTTCAACCCTAGACACAAAAACCCATCAAACAATAAAACCAAATTCCAGACAGTAAACCAAAAAAATTACCCCCCCAATCCTCCACAATTATCTTGCAATACTTGCTTATACATGCCTAGCAAAAGCAGATCCCTGTGTTTACAATTCAAGTCAGAAGAGAGAACCACCCGAATGCATGCTGCACAACTAAGAATACAGATAGCTTCAATGGTGACATCTCAAAAATGTTTAGCCTGATACTTCAGACAAAAAAGTGAATATAGGAACAAGTAACAGAATGGAATCAAAGTGAAAAAGACAAATTTTTAAATCCATTTTGAAGGACTTCCTCTATAGAACTAAATAAGATCCTGGGGTTTCATGTCAATAATCTCTTACCAGTGGTGCTTTCAAGGTTGAGGAGTCAAATGGTAACAGTAAGTGAAAAACTGTTAAATTTAGTCTCAAAATTTACAACACTCTTTTATTTTTACAACACAAATGATGTATTATTTTCACTGTATATGAAGCAACCAGCATGCCACAGCCAAATCTTGTAATCCTATTTACACTGCCCAAGATGAAAAAAAAATTAAAACATCAGTTACAAGAAGTGCATTTATTTCCTGCAAATTATACTAAAACTGCATCTTTCTGAACAGATCTATATTGTTTTTATACAATCACATGACAGATTAAAATCTCAATGTTAAGTTGTTTTACTTACTTGTATTTTTTGGAGTTCTTCACTAAAGGGATCCTTGACTGTCAAAAAAAAAAAAAGAAAAAATTAATTCACTCTAGTGTCTGAAAACACTAAAAGGGTATACCAACATTGTAGCTTTATGATAACACTGTAATAGTTAAGACAAATAACAAAAAGAGGCATCTATTAACCTTTGCCCTAACTCTGCATTTGATAATGCGGTATAGTAGCATTTAGGTTAAACCAGAGTTTTGTATGTCAACAAATTTCACAGCTATTTCCTTTCAAACAAATCTGTGCTTGCTATTTGCCGAACACTTGTTTTAATAACTCAATTGCTTTGAAATAATTAGGAGGTTTTACATTTTAGTGGACATTTTAAAAAAGGAAAACTCCCTTTTTACTAACCACTAATACATACAACAAAGCTCTACAACTCAGCATTTTCTTTTAGCAAGAGTGAGACAACACACTGAGAGCTCATGCACTCCTGTGCATATAGGTATCCATAAAACATCAAGAGCTGCTGACCCAAGAATAGAGTGATGGACAGTATATTGATTCTGAACCACAACCATGCTTAAACTGATCAGTTAATTTAGTAATACATGGGAAATATAAGAGAAATATAAAGGTTGACACAGTAGATCAAATTCATGGCAAGATTTCTCATTTAGGAGAAACGGAGGATACAAAAGAAACTAAGGACCAACTTGTAAAACAGGGTTCCCAACCATAATCAAGTGTAAGTGAATATGGATAAGAAAGGAAAAAAAAAATTTCTGAGAAAAAAACCTAATTATTTGTGAAAGAATGTGGTTTTTATTAATTGCATGACCTTCAGTAGCACTCTTGTCAGCAAACAAACGTTGATCCACTTCACCTTAGTTTTGAAAGGAAGTTTGAAGTAGAAACCATTACCCTTCCTTTGTTCCAACATGTAGCAATGGTAAGATTCACATTCCTATGGTTACAACCAACAAATAATGTCTAAAACAGTGGGACAATGGAAATGCTCTTTAAATGAAGAAGGCTTGACTCTCTTTAACTTTGCAAACAAGCCTGCCCATGCACCTAAGCTCAGAAAAAAATTAACTATCCAATAAGCCCTTCAGCTTCTTCTGATACAACAAATGGAAAAAAAAACCCAAACCAAACTAAACCCACTCAAACACAGGGACTAGTTTTCACACACATCCAAATACTGTATTCAGATATAAGAGTAATTAAAGCTGATAGAAGCAGATGTTGAAGAGTCTTGCAAACCAAGCCCTACAGCACTTTACGATTTCATTCTACAGGTCCAAATTCACAGCCATTGCTTACAGGATTATCAAGCTACCAACTTTAAAAAGTTTTATGTATTTCATTCATTAACTCAATTGAACATCACTAAACACTCAATCTAAACAGCCTAAAATAGGATTAAACACCTAGTTGGATTGTTTGCCATCCAGACAAGGATAATTACAGACTCCAGGGTCAATCTTACTGAGCATACATGAAATCTTGATTGAGTAGGGGTTTTAGATTGGAAGGGGGGTACAAACACAAGACACAAGAGCGTGTAGATTTCAGTATACCTGACTAACATATTTTAGCACTGGTGAAAGTCATGAAACAAACACATATGCAACATTTCCATGCCTGCAAAGACCCACACTGAAAACTGTCACCTGAAATTCTAGACGTGTTAGGGCAGTCCAGCAATCAAGTGGAGGCTATGGTGGTGATTAGACTTTTCCACCATCACAATCCCAGTGTAAAATCAATCTCACATTTGGGCAACTTTATATTTACATAAATTAACACCTTGAATTTATTAAACAAGCCAGATGGTGTTTGTCTATCATTCACAAATACATAGTGGTTACAATAACCAAAAATACTAACCCAACCGCCTCTTCAAAATTACCTATCACAAAAATTTAACAATCTTTAAAACTCCTTATTTTAACTCACACAATAGGATAACCATGAAATCACTCTGAAGTTAGTGATTCTTGCAGTTAACCAAAAACTGAAGTACATTTTATATACAATGCTATTTAGTTTAGCATGACTTGTGCCTTAAGAGGCAAGTATGCAAAATGCAACTGCAGCAATTTATCAGCTGCAAATGCAATTACAACTATTAATCAATTTGCATTTATTTACCACATAACCTCAACTGACTTGAGTTAATAAGGCCACTCCTTAACTTCTTCAGTAATTCCTCTTTTGAGTACACCCTTCTTTCTTTTGTCCAGAACCTAAGCTCTTACCAAATCCTCCCACATGCTCCAGTCATAGATGTAAAATTTTCACCTACTCCAACATGCCTAAGGTATTTCAATATATTACCTCAGCATTCTTGGTTCAAAAGCTTTCTTGACAGTTCTTAGAATATGTGACTACATTTGTAAGATTGATTAAATTCTTATTCAAGCAAACTAAACATTAAATTAAGAATTAATTATTAATGTAAAATTTTTATCTGAATGAATACTTCCTAGGCTCCTCCTTAAAAAGGATTTGAGACCTCTAACGTGCAACAATTGCCTTGAAAATAGTCTATCAAGCTCACATTCTAATGAAGTTCAAAGAACAAATTATTATCTACTTATGCTATAAAGTTAAAACATGAATCCTTGTACCAGAGGCGATAGAGACTAATGAGGCTATTCAGCCCTTCCATAATACTCATGCCTTCACTTCATTCCTCACTCCTCCACATTTGAGATTCCTCTTCCTCCTTGCTATAAAAGCCACCTCTGAACCTTTCTGCAGCTCTCTGTTCCTCCTAATATTTTAAGGTGACATTTTTAACAGAAGCATTTTAATGCCACAATCTATTTCTGAATGTACAGATAATTTGATTTTATAGATGAAAAAGCAAAATTCCAATGCAACTTTGTAAAGTAAAAGCAGTAAAGCTGCAGCTGTAGAAACAAGAATGATCCAAATTAACCTGTAAGCAGCTCGTTTCTGAGTGTGATGACACAAAGCATCAAATACCATTCACCCAAAGGATTCAGAGACTGCACTACAACATATACCTCCAAGTTAGCAGCTTCTGCACAAGTAAGAATGTTCCCTCCTGCAAAGTACTTTTCTCCTCCTCATCCACCATGCCACAAGCAGACTAACCTCAAAACAGAGGTAGTAATAGTTCCAAAATCTGTCTTAAAAATATGTGTTCTGTAAGCAGATAACCTAATGCTTTCCATCAGATTTTTTTTTCCTCTTAAAACAAATACATTAGCTGGATAATGTACTGCTACCAGAGTAAGAAACAATATTAGGAGCACTGCTATCAGAAATGTTTAGCTGGATCACCCTTTCTAGAAAGGTTCAAATCCATTCCTGCCTACTTAAATGCTGGTTAGAATAGATCTGAATGTTGAAAGGTGCTCCTGCAAGTCACGCCAATTCAATCTAGATTTGAGAAGAGACATAAGTGTTTTGGGAAAGTTTCTCATAAGATTATTTAGTTTACTGGAATAACATTAGTTTCATTCTAGTACTCATATTAGTAACCTAAAAATTATAAAAGCTGTCAGTTCTTAACAATATTTAAGGAAATATTTTTTAGTAACTGTATTTGCACACATGCTCTTCTGCACTATATTACAAAACATAGAAAAAACAGCTGTCTCTGTTTTATTAGGGAAAATGGCCCAGAAGTGCACTTGCCGTGCATTGTGAAAAATAGATTAAAATCACATTCCTTGCACACACATACACACAGTATTCACTACAGGCTAGTGTGTATACATAAGAAATAACCCACCACACTACAACTGCTCTTATGAGAAGTTGCAAAACATTAACAGGAGAAATATTAGACAGCATTTTACAATGGGTAGAAAATCAGAATAGGCTTCTGAAATAGCCCTTCTACCTTCCTCTGTACCTCTCCCAAATATTTTAGCTCCTTACATTTTATAACGCCAAAAAATACACACCACTTCAACAAATAAACACAAATTTAGAGAAAGGAGAAACTCCATCTTAAAAGCATAGCAACACAGTATGTTTTATGTTAAACTAGGATGTCTTCCATTTTCCTCAAACTCCAAGTTCAAAGTGGAAAGTAAACTAATAAAGCAAATGTTCTTGAAACACAGAAGGTTTAAGAATCAATGGCAAGCTGCAATTAAATACTGAATCTACTGTCATTCTGCCAAGGAGCCCAGTCTTGATAAAAATATCCTGTAATTTCATACAAGAAGTAAGGATTTCTGTCTTGAAGAGTTTCCAACATAAAAACACCAAGTTATAACCTCTTCTTCCAGACAGACTTCAGTTACAAAGTACTAGTAAGAACAGTTTACAACATCCAAAGTAACGTTCAAAGGGAGAACACTGACAATAAAACTCTTAAAAGGCCATCAATCATGAGCACAAAGTCATGATACAGCTCACATGGGAATTTTTAAATTTTAAAACTGGGGTTCTGCTGTGTCCTCTGTCCTTTTAATCATTCAGCACACTGGTCTATCAGTACTTGCTGCACTAAGAGCAGCAGAACTACTGAACAATATATTTACAAAGCCTGAACACAACAGCAGAGCTCTGAAAACAGGTGCTCTATACAGGATATACAGAGGTAGTTGCTAGCAGATCTCCTGGCATGACAAAGATGAGCTCCCACTGAGGAAGCAGCAGTCAGTTTACCACAAGTATCCATATTAGTTAAGAAGGAAAACTGCTCACCACATACTTGTGGAAGTTTGAAGAGCTCCAAATCAGGATGGGCTCAGCAGTAATAACATAACACACTTGACTGGACAAGCGTAACAGCAGGCAATATTGAGTTACTTCCATTTTTTACTCCACTGGACTAAGACTCTGAAGAGCTGGTTAACCTTCCAGGCTGTCTATCATAGCAACTGCATTTGTTTGATGATTTGTTTGATTAATCTACCTGGTTCACATAAATATTATCCAAAGGGAACAACTGGACTAACACGCCAGTATCCTTTACTCATATGAAGAGTGCTTAAACAAAGACTGAACTTGAACTAATGTTATGATAATTGTTTATTAATTAAATAGGTTATGCCTATTAGTTAAA